CCTCCTCTCCCTCCATCTCCTCCCCTCATCTCCCTCCATCTCCTGCCCTCTAGCTGAACTCCCCCAGCTCTATTAATACATGAACTTGGTGAACTGAGCTCTATTCCAACCTCTCCAGCCCCCCAGCCCCCCAGCCCCCCAGCCCTTTCCTACTGAGTCTGCTGCAGGTATTGCTACAAGATTGTTAAGAGCATTTCTAACTAAATGGACCCGTGAGCACCAACATGTGAAGTTTATAGGAGCATGTCAAATGAAAGCTAAGAGTCTATATGTTTTAGAAATTAAGGCATATATACATTTTTCAACCATTTTCCATTCTAAAAATTAGAAATAAGCAAACGCTTTGATTTGTGGTCAAACGGATGGAAAAGGGGTCTTAGACAACATCTACCATCGGTAAATAAATAAAAGTGTGTATATCGGGGGGGGGGGGGGGGGGGGGGATAAAAGTGGGTCTCGCGTGGACTAACTTACTGGGTCTCGCGTGGACTAACCCAGTAAATCTATCCCTAACCCAGTAAATCTATCTCTTATGTCCATAATTATGCATTTCTGTATAGTACAGATATCAGGGACCCATGATGGAATCCACTTCACCCACTGTAGTTCAATAACCAAAATACCGTTTTTCAAACTCAAGGTCCCATATCATAGCTGACACCCCATTCTCAAGGTCCCATATCATAGCTGACACCCCATTCTCAAGGTCCCATATCATAGCTGACACCCCATTCTCAAGGTCCCATATCATAGCTGACACCCCATTCTCAAGGTCCCATATCATAGCTGACACCCCATTCTTTCTGCAGACATCTTTGAATCTTAATTCGGAGCAGAGTTTTAAAAGAGTTTGGGGGCATAGAAAACTGAGGGAGATCTTACCGTAATTCTGTTAACAAGCTTTGCATCTGCACAGTTCTTCCAGTAAATGTGTTTTTGTGAAATGTTATATGTAAATTGTTCAAAGTTGTCCTTGTGCATAGAGTTCTATGACTTGATAAAAATCTGAAATCAATGGTTTTTGTTTGGTAAAAAATCTGAGTCGAAGCATAATTCTGTGGAATTGCCCTTAAGTGTCTTATCATCAAATAAAAACCCAGCTAGCCGCCTGGTGAGGCTGTTCAGAACCAGGCTAAAGGCTGCTTGGTTTAGTCTGGTGGGCTGTTCAGAACCAGGCTAAAGGCTGCTTGGTTTAGTCTGGTGAGGCTGTTCAGAACCAGGCTAAAGGCTGCTTGGTTTAGTCTGGTGGTTTGGCACAGTAAGACTGTGTAGAATACATGTCTTACTGTCAGTCATTGGAATCACCACGCTAACATGCAGTCGACAAACAAGGGCTCTTCCCATGTTCTAAAAACACTCAAGCTAACCGTTAGATCAGGTAGACTGTTAAATTGGGTCAGTCTCTGGTTGTTATCAGAGTTCTGTCAAATAAATGTGGATTAGAGAGGGAGAGACAGAGATCACCTTCCTCTGTTGCTGTCTATTAGATACAGAGACAGAGATCACCTTCCTCTGTTGCTGTCTATTAGATACAGAGACAGAGATCACCTTCCTCTGTTGCTGTCTATTAGATACAGAGACAGAGATCACCTTCCTCTGTTGCTGTCTATTAGATACAGATACAGAGATCACCTTCCTCTGTTGCTGTCTATTAGATACAGAGACAGAGATCACCTTCCTCTGTTGCTGTCTATTAGATACAGAGACAGAGATCACCTTCCTCTGTTGCTGTCTATTAGATACAGAGACAGAGATCACCTTCCTCTGTTGCTGTCTATTAGATACAGAGACAGAGATCACCTTCCTCTGTTGCTGTCTATTAGATACAGATACAGAGATCACCTTCCTCTGTTGCTGTCTATTAGATACAGAGACAGAGATCACCTTCCTCTGTTGCTGTCTATTAGATACAGAGACAGAGATCACCTTCCTCTGTTGCTGTCTATTAGATACAGAGACAGAGATCACCTTCCTCTGTTGCTGTCTATTAGATACAGAGACAGAGATCACCTTCCTCTGTTGCTGTCTATTAGATACAGAGACAGAGATCAAACAGGCCTCTGTTGCTGTCTATTAGATACAGAGACAGAGATCACCTTCCTCTGTTGCTGTCTATTAGATACAGAGACAGAGATCACCTTCCTCTGTTGCTGTCTATTAGATACAGAGACAGAGATCACCTTCCTCTGTTGCTGTCTATTAGATACAGAGACAGAGATCACCTTCCTCTGTTGCTGTCTATTAGATACAGAGACAGAGATCACCTTCCTCTGTTGCTGTCTATAAGATACAGAGACAGAGATCACCTTCCTCTGTTGCTGTCTATTAGATACAGAGACAGAAATCACCTTCCTCTGTTGCTCTCTATTGGATACAGAGACAGAGATCACCTTCCTCTGTTGCTGTCTATTAGATACAGAGACAGAGATCACCTTCCTCTGTTGCTGTCTATTAGATACAGAGACAGAGATCACCTTCCTCTGTTGCTGTCTATTAGATACAGAGACAGAGATCACCTTCCTCTGTTGCTGTCTATTGGATACAGAGACAGAGATCACCTTCCTCTGTTGCTGTCTATTAGATACAGAGACAGAGATCAAACAGGCCTCTGTTGTAGTGGATCTCCTCTGTTGCTGTCTATTAGATACAGAGACAGAGATCACCTTCCTCTGTTGCTGTCTATTAGATACAGAGACAGAGATCAAACAAGCCTCTGTTGGAGTGGATCTCCTCTGTTGCTAAGTTTTGAATCCCGCGTCGTTTTGCGTATCAGTTCATAAACACTATGCCATGGAATCGGTACATCAAAAATCTCTTCCCAACTATTTTGCAATCTATACGGCTGGCAATCCTTTGGTCCTTAAATGAAACTGGTAAACTTTTTTATTTATCACAATTTAATTTAACCAATTATGGTATTTAATGCAAGGCCGACAGACAAGTTCCTTACTTTCTCCCCCTTCCACTTTCCTCTTCCATTTTTGCGGTAAGGCTGCAATTATTTGTTTGTAATTTTGGGTAGAGCAGACATTTCCATATGTTTTTGTTAGCTGCATGTGCGACATAACTCCACCAGTCCTACCGATGATATCATTTACAAAGATTATACCTTTTTTAAACATTTTCTCAAAAAATAAAGTTTTTTTTAATCAATTAGTATATTTGAGTTTAACCACAATATTTGTTGCAATATTTGTTCTGTCATTTCTGGAGGATTAAATTGAAATTGCAACCAACTTTCTATGGCTTGTTTTAGAAATAGTGATATTTGGGAGATTATTTCCTTTTCAAATACCTGAAAGTGAGAGGTTGTAATCTGAATAAAGGGAAAAAGGCCCTTCTTGAACATTGGGTGAGACATTCTTACTAATTTGCTAGAGAACCAGTTCGGATTTAAGTATAATTTTTGTATGACTAAAGCTTTTAGTGATAGGTCTAATGCTTTAATATTTAATAATTTATGTCCATGAGGAGAAGAGGGTCATTCTTAGTTCATGAAGAGAAGAGGGTCAGTCTTAGTTCATATGAAGAGAAGAGGGTCAGTCTTAGTTCATATGAAGAGAAGAGGGTCAGTCTTAGTTCATATGAGACAGGTCCTGTCTATAGTGTGGCCTTGTCTCTAGAGGAAGGCTTCAGTAGAGTGATTCTGTCTTATAGTTGTCCTGTCTTGTAGTGGTCCTCTCTATAGTGGTCCTGTCTTGTAGTGGTCCTCTCGATAGTGGTCCTGTCTTGAGGTGGTCCTGTCTATAGTGGTCCTGTCTTGAGGTGGTCCTGTCTATAGTGGTCCTGTCTTGAGGTGGTCCTGTCTTGAGGTGGTCCTGTCTATAGTGGTCCTGTCTTGAGGTGGTCCTGTCTTTTCGTGGTCCTGTCTATAGTGGTCTTTAGTGGTCCTGTCTTGTAGTGGGCCTGTCTATTGTGGTCCTGTCTTGTAGTGGTCCTCTCTATAGTGGTTCTGTCTTGTAGTGGTCCTGTCTTGTAGTGGTCCTGTCTTGTAGTGGTCCAGTCTATAGTGCTCTGATCTATAGTTGTCCTGTCTTGTAGTGGTCCTGTCTATAGTGGTCCTGTCTATAGGGGCCTGTCTATTGTGGTCCTGTCTTGAGGTGGTCCTGTCTATAGTGGTCCTGTCTTGAGGTGGTCCTGTCTGTAGTGGTCCTCTCTATAGTGGTCCTGTCTTGAGGTGGTCCTGTCTATAGTGGTCCTGTCTTGAGGTGGTCCTGTCTATAGTGGGCCTGTCTATAGTGGTCCTGTCTTGAGGTGGTCCTGTCTTTTCGTGGTCCTGTCTATAGTGGTCTTTAGTGGTCATGTCTTGTAGTGGGCCTGTCTATTGTGGTCCTGTCTTGTAGTGGTCCTCTCTATAGTGGTTCTGTCTTGTAGTGGTCCTGTCTTGTAGTGGTCCTGTCTTGTAGTGGTCCAGTCTATAGTGCTCTGATCTATAGTTGTCCTGTCTTGTAGTGGTCCTGTCTATAGGGGTCTGATCTATAGTTGTCCTGTCTTGTAGTGGTCCTGTCTATAGTGGTCCTGTCTATAGTGGTCCTGTCTATAGGGGTCCTGTCTGTAGTTGTCCTGTCTTGTAGTGGTCCTGTCTATAGTGGTCCTGTCTATAGTGGTCCTGTCTATAGGGGTCCTGTCTGTAGTTGTCCTGTCTTGTAGTGGTCCTGTCTATAGTGGTCCTGTTGTGTTCATGATGAAACTCAGATAACCTGGGATACCCAGCATCACTGTATCTCTGTATCTGTCTTCCTGTCTGTGTGTGGCCGGTAGACTGAAGCTCTCTGAGCCTCTGGATGAGCTTTACATGTTGACCTCTGCTTCTACCTGGTGGGGGATAGGTAAAAGAACCCATCATCCCAAATATATACGCTTTCTCAATGCCATCATCCTACATACAGTACCTCACAAACAATCATTGACAGTGATTGATTTGCAGCCATGTTGTGTGTATTGTGGATGTTAAATGAAGCCTGTTGTCTCTCTCTCTCTGTGTCTCTTCTCTTCTCCAGCTGAACTGGAATTTGTTCAGATCATCATAATAATGGTGCTGATGACAGTGATGGTGGTGGTGATTATCTGTCTGTTGAACCACTACAAGCTGTCTACCTGGTCCTTCAGAACCAGACAGAGCCCGGCCCGGAGGCGAGAACAACACCTACAGCAGGTCAGTACAGTGTGTGTATATATACCCAGTCCTCCAGTCACCTCTCCTCTCTTCGTGCGTAATTCACCAGACGCCCGTCTAGATAGCTGCACTGCCCCTGTACACAGACACAGAGAGAACACACACACATTGGAGCTGGTTCTTGTTCGTAACATGTATTATTGAGTCAGGCAGACCAATATTTGATAGCCATTAAGTTAATGGTTTCCTCCACATGTTAAATGTTCAGACTGTCTCTTTCTGTTATCAGGATGGGTGTCTTTGGCCGTCGGACAGCGGCTCTCGACAAGGTGCCTCCGAGGTAAAACCCCAGGCAGTGTGTGTGTGTGTGTGTGTGTGTGTGTGTGTGTGTGTGTGTGTGTGTGTGTGTGTGTGTGTGTGTGCAGTCCGAGGAGGGAGGCTTGGTGGTCACTGACATCAGTCTCTCTGATGTGATGGGGACATTACTGCCCATTAGCCATACACACAGTCCCCTGAGTCACTGACATCAGTCTCTCTGATCATCAGTCTGAAATAGAACGGGATGAAATGCCACTGAATTGGATGAACTCACTGGAGCCAATCTGTTTAGTAATGGAACCACTATATTGTTTCATATGGCTGTGGTAGGTATTGATGACTGTATCTAACCCTGTCTGGTCTCTCTGTCCAGCTGCTGTCCTGAATCAGGAGTCTAACTCTCTGTGTCTAGGTGCTGTACTGAATCAGGAGTCTAACTCTCTGTGTCTAGGTGCTGTACTGAATCAGGAGTCTAACTCTCTGTGTCTAGGTGCTGTACTGAATCAGGAGTCTAACTCTCTGTGTCTAGGTGCTGTACTGAATCAGGAGTCTAACTCTCTGTGTCTAGGTGCTGTACTGAATCAGGAGTCTAACTCTCTGTGTCTAGGTGCTGTACTGAATCAGGAGTCTAACTCTCTGTGTCTAGGTGCTGTCCTGAATCAGGAGTCTAACTCTCTGTGTCTAGGTGCTGTCCTGAATCAGGAGTCTAACTCTCTGTGTCTAGGTGCTGTACTGAATCAGGAGTCTAACTCTCTGTGTCTAGGTGCTGTACTGAATCAGGAGTCTAACTCTCTGTGTCTAGGTGCTGTACTGAATCAGGAGTCTAACTCTCTGTGTCTAGGTGCTGTACTGAATCAGGAGTCTAACTCTCTGTGTCAGGGTGCTGTACTGAATCAGGAGTCTAACTCTCTGTGTCAGGGTGCTGTACTGAATCAGGAGTCTAACTCTCTGTGTCTAGGTGCTGTACTGAATCAGGAGTCTAACTCTCTGTGTCTAGGTGCTGTACTGAATCAGGAGTCTAACTCTCTGTGTCTAGGTGCTGTACTGAATCAGGAGTCTAACTCTCTGTGTCTAGGTGCTGTACTGAATCAGGAGTCTAACTCTCTGTGTCAGGGTGCTGTACTGAATCAGGAGTCTAACTCTCTGTGTCTAGGTGCTGTACTGAATCAGGAGTCTAACTCTCTGTGTCAGGGTGCTGTACTGAATCAGGAGTCTAACTCTCTGTGTCTAGGTGCTGTACTGAATCAGGAGTCTAACTCTCTGTGTCAGGGTGCTGTACTGAATCAGGAGTCTAACTCTCTGTGTCAGGGTGCTGTACTGAATCAGGAGTCTAACTCTCTGTGTCAGGGTGCTGTACTGAATCAGGAGTCTAACTCTCTGTGTCAGGGTGCTGTACTGAATCAGGAGTCTAACTCTCTGTGTCAGGGTGCTGTACTGAATCAGGAGTCTAACTCTCTGTGTCAGGGTGCTGTACTGAATCAGGAGTCTAACTCTCTGTGTCAGGGTGCTGTACTGAATCAGGAGTCTAACTCTCTGTGTCAGGGTGCTGTACTGAATCAGGAGTCTAACTCTCTGTGTCAGGGTGCTGTACTGAATCAGGAGTCTAACTCTCTGTGTCTAGGTGCTGTACTGAATCAGGAGTCTAACTCTCTGTGTCTAGGTGCTGTACTGAATCAGGAGTCTAACTCTCTGTGTCTAGGTGCTGTACTGAATCAGGAGTCTAACTCTCTGTGTCTAGGTGCTGTACTGAATCAGGAGTCTAACTCTCTGTGTCAGGGTGCTGTACTGAATCAGGAGTCTAACTCTCTGTGTCTAGGTGCTGTACTGAATCAGGAGTCTAACTCTCTGTGTCAGGGTGCTGTACTGAATCAGGAGTCTAACTCTCTGTGTCTAGGTGCTGTACTGAATCAGGAGTCTAACTCTCTGTGTCAGGGTGCTGTACTGAATCAGGAGTCTAACTCTCTGTGTCTAGGTGCTGTACGTTCCCCAGGGTTAGGGTTCTGTATGTATCTAACCCTCTATCTATCTCTGTGTCTAGGTGCTGTATGTTCCCCAGGGTTAGGGTTCTGTATGTATCTAACCCTCTATCTATCTCTGTGTCTAGGTGCTGTACGTTCCCCAGGGTCAGGGTTCTGTATGTATCTAACCCTCTATCTATCTCTGTGTCTAGGTGCTGTACGTTCCCCAGGGTTAGGGTTAGGGTTCTGTATGTATCTAACCCTCTATCTATCTCTGTGTCTAGGTGCTGTACGTTCCCCAGGGTTAGGGTTCTGTATGTATCTAACCCTCTATCTATCTCTGTGTCTAGGTGCTGTACGTTCCCCAGGGTTAGGGTTCTGTATGTATCTAACCCTCTATCTATCTCTGTGTCTAGGTGCTGTACGTTCCCCAGGGTTAGGGTTAGGGTTCTGTATGTATCTAACCCTCTATCTATCTCTGTGTCTAGGTGCTGTACGTTCCCCAGAGTTAGGGTTCTGTATGTATCTAACCCTCTATCTATCTCTGTGTCTAGGGGCTGTACGTTCCCCAGGGTTAGGGTTAGGGTTCTGTATGTATCTAACCCTCTATCTATCTCTGTGTCTAGGTGCTGTACGTTCCCCAGGGTTAGGGTTAGGGTTCTGTATGTATCTAACCCTCTATCTATCTCTGTGTCTAGGTGCTGTACGTTCCCCAGGGTTAGGGTTAGGGTTCTGTATGTATCTAACCCTCTATCTATCTCTGTGTCTAGGTGCTGTACGTTCCCCAGGGTTAGGGTTCTGTATGTATCTAACCCTCTATCTATCTCTGTGTCTAGGTGCTGTACGTTCCCCAGGGTTAGGGTTCTGTATGTATCTAACCCTCTATCTATCTCTGTGTCTAGGTGCTGTACGTTCCCCAGGGTTAGGGTTCTGTATGTATCTAACCCTCTATCTATCTCTGTGTCTAGGTGCTGTACGTTCCCCAGGGTTAGGGTTCTGTATGTATCTAACCCTCTATCTATCTCTGTGTCTAGGTGCTGTATGTTCCCCAGGGTTAGGGTTAGGGTTCTGTATGTATCTAACCCTCTATCTATCTCTGTGTCTAGGTGCTGTACGTTCCCCAGGGTTAGGGTTAGGGTTCTGTATGTATCTAACCCTCTATCTATCTCTGTGTCTAGGTGCTGTACGTTCCCCAGGGTTAGGGTTCTGTATGTATCTAACCCTCTATCTATCTCTGTGTCTAGGTGCTGTACGTTCCCCAGGGTTAGGGTTCTGTATGTATCTAACCCTCTATCTATCTCTGTGTCTAGGTGCTGTACGTTCCCCAGGGTTAGGGTTAGGGTTCTGTATGTATCTAACCCTCTATCTATCTCTGTGTCTAGGTGCTGTACGTTCCCCAGGGTCAGGGTTCTGTATGTATCTAACCCTCTATCTATCTCTGTGTCTAGGTGCTGTACGTTCCCCAGGGTTAGGGTTCTGTATGTATTTTTAATATTTTTTATTTAATTTAATTTAATATGCCATTTAGCAGACGCTTTTATCCAAAGCGACTTACAGTCATGCGTGCATACATTTTTTTGTGTATGGGTGGTCCCGGGGATCGAACCCACTACCTTAGCGTTACAAGCGCCGTGCTCTACCAGCTGAGCTACAGAGGACCATACATCTCTGTGTCTAGGTGCTGTACGTTCCCCAGGGTTAGGGTTCTGTATGTATCTAACCCTCTATCTATCTCTGTGTCTAGGTGCTGTACGTTCCCCAGGGTTAGGGTTAGGGTTCTGTATGTATCTAACCCTCTATCTATCTCTGTGTCTAGGTGCTGTACGTTCCCCAGGGTTAGGGTTCTGTATGTATCTAACCCTCTATCTATCTCTGTGTCTAGGTGCTGTACGTTCCCCAGGGTTAGGGTTCTGTATGTATCTAACCCTCTATCTATCTCTGTGTCTAGGTGCTGTACGTTCCCCAGGGTTAGGGTTAGGGTTCTGTATGTATCTAACCCTCTATCTATCTCTGTGTCTAGGTGCTGTACGTTCCCCAGGGTTAGGGTTCTGTATGTATCTAACCCTCTATCTATCTCTGTGTCTAGGGGCTGTATGTTCCCCAGGGTTAGGGTTAGGGTTCTGTATGTATCTAACCCTCTATCTATCTCTGTGTCTAGGTGCTGTACGTTCCCCAGGGTTAGGGTTCTGTATGTATCTAACCCTCTATCTATCTCTGTGTCTAGGTGCTGTACGTTCCCCAGGGTTAGGGTTAGGGTTCTGTATGTATCTAACCCTCTATCTATCGCTGTGTCTAGGTGCTGTACGTTCCCCAGGGTTAGGGTTCTGTATGTATCTAACCCTCTATCTATCTCTGTGTCTAGGTGCTGTACGTTCCCCAGGGTTAGGGTTCTGTATGTATCTAACCCTCTATCTATCTCTGTGTCTAGGTGCTGTACGTTCCCCAGGGTTAGGGTTCTGTATGTATCTAACCCTCTATCTATCTCTGTGTCTAGGTGCTGTACGTTCCCCAGGGTTAGGGTTCTGTATGTATCTAACCCTCTATCTATCTCTGTGTCTAGGTGCTGTACGTTCCCCAGGGTTAGGGTTAGGGTTCTGTATGTATCTAACCCTCTATCTATCTCTGTGTCTAGGTGCTGTACGTTCCCCAGGGTTAGGGTTAGGGTTCTGTATGTATCTAACCCTCTATCTATCTCTGTGTCTAGGTGCTGTACGTTCCCCAGGGTTAGGGTTCTGTATGTATCTAACCCTCTATCTATCTCTGTGTCTAGGTGCTGTACGTTCCCCAGGGTTAGGGTTCTGTATGTATCTAACCCTCTATCTATCTCTGTGTCTAGGTGCTGTACGTTCCCCAGGCCAGGGAGAGGTTCACAGCCCCCTCCTTTATGTACCGGGAGCGTTTCAGTCGCTTCCAGCCCACCTACCCCTACCTGCCCCACGACATCCTCCTTCCCCCCTCCATCTCCCTGTCTGACGGAGAGGAGCCGCCGCCCTACCAGGGTCCATGTGCCTTACAGCTGAGAGACCCAGAGCAGCAGATGGAGTTAAACAGAGAGTCGGTCAGAGCCCCCCCCAACAGAACCATCTTCCACAGTGACCTGATAGACATGCGCAGTGGAAGGGGGGGGGGGCCGAGACCACCCAGCAGTAACTCTGGTATCAGCGTGGCCAATAGCAGCAGCCACGGACGCATGGAGGGCCCGCCTCCGCCATATTCCGAGGTGATTGGTCAGCACTACCCTGGCTCCGCCTTATTTCACCACCCGCACAGCAATAACCCACATGGGACCTGGACGGGGGGTGGGACCAGCCAGCAGGGCCAATCAGAAAGCACAATACCTGCCAAGGCCAGGGAGGGGGAGGAGCTGAGGTGAGATGGGGGAGGGACTATGCTGTCTGAGACTCCTCACCCCCTGTAAAGAGGTGTGGCCTTTCTCTCTATGGGCGGACACTCCCAGGATGCACAACTAAACATTATCAACCTGCTACAACTAAACACAACATTATTAACCTGCTACAACTAAACACAACATTATCAACCTGCTACAACTAAACACAACATTATCAACCTGCTACAACTAAACACAACATTATCAACCTGCTACAACTAAACACAACATTATCAACCTGCTACAACTAAACACAACATTATCAACCTGCTACAACTAAACACAACATTATCAACCTGCTACAACTAAACACAACATTATCAACCTGCTACAACTAAACACAACATTATCAACCTGCTACAACTAAACACAACATTATCAACCTGCTACAACTAAACACAACATTGTCAACCTGCTACAACTAAACACAACATTATCAACCTGCTACAACTAAACACAACATTATCAACCTGCTACAACTAAACACAACATTATCAACCTGCTACAACTAAACAAAACAAGATGGACTGAGGAGTTTTAATCAGACCAGGGTCTGTGCACAACCAAGATGGAGGAGGAATGACTCAAACATCCAAATCTTAGTGCCAAGGTTACCGTGGAAACAGAGGAGCAGAACTGACTTGTCTAAGTAACTAACATTTAAAAAAGAAGCGTTATCTAAAGTTGCACTATCTACTACCCAGTCATACCCAGCCTAGTATCTATCAGTCCCACTACCACACAGTACACCAACTACCCAGTCATACCCAGCCTAGTATCTATCAGTCCCACTACCACACAGTACACCAACTACCCAGTCATACCCAGCCTAGTATCTATCAGTCCCACTACCACACAGTACACCAACTACCCAGTCATACCCAGCCTAGTATCTATCAGTCCCACTACCACACAGTACACCAACTACCCAGTAGTACCCAGCCTAGTATCTATCAGTCCCACTACCACACAGTACACCAACTACCAACTACAGTACCAGACCATACTGCTTTAGTACCAGACCGTACTGCTTTAGTACCAGTACCGTACTGCTTTAGTACCAGTACCGTACTGCTTTAGTACCAGTACCGTACTGCTTTAGTACCAGTACCATACTGCTTTAGTACCAGTACCGTACTGCTTTAGTACCAGTACCGTACTGCTTTAGTACCAGTACCATACTGCTTTAGTACCAGACCATACTGCTTTAGTACCAGACCATACTGCTTTAGTACCAGACCATACTGCTTTAGTACCAGTACCGTACTGCTTTAGTACCAGTACCGTACTGCTTTAGTACCAGTACCGTACTGCTTTAGTACCAGTACCTACTGCTTTAGTACCAGTACCGCTTTTTACCGTACGTAACCGTTGTTAGTACCAGTACCGACTGCTTTTGACCAGTCCAAATGCTTTGTACCGTACCGTATGTTTAGTACCCCTACCGACGTTTTGTCCGTACCGTAACCGTAGTTTTTGTACAGACCTATGCTTTAGTACCAGTACGTATGCTTTATACCAGTCCCTATGCTTTAGACCCGTCCATTGCTTGTACCCGTACCGTTGTTTGTACCAGTACCTAGCTTTATACCCGTACCCTACGCTTTGTACCAGACCCAAAAAATTTTACCCGTACCCTTGCTTTTTTACCAGAACCAAATTTTAGTACCAGTACCGATGTTTTTTACCAGTCCAAGCTTTAGTACCCGTCCATACTGCTTAAATACCCGTACCGTCTGCTTTGTCCAGTACCTACTGCTATACCAGACCGTATGCTTTGTACCCGTACCGTATGCTTTTGTACCCGTCCCCTAGCTTTAGTACCAGCCCTAGCTTTAGTACCGTACCAACGCTTTAGTACCAGTACCATATGCTTTGTCCAGACCCCACTGCTTTTGTACCCGACCATATGCTTTTTGTACCGACCATACTGCTTTAGTACCGACCATAGCTTTAGACCAAAAGATGCTTGTACCTAGTAGCTTTAGTCCGTACCTACTGTTAGTACCAGCCTACTGCTTTAGTACAGTACCCTAAGCTTTTTGTACCAGAAAAATATGCTTTAGACCAGTACCCTACTGCTTTGTACCCCGTACCGTATGCTTAGTACCGTACCCACGCTTTAGTACAGTACGTACTGCTTTAGTAAGACCATATGCTTTTGTACCAGTACATATGCTTTGTCCAGCCGTATGTTTGTACCCGTACCGACGCTTAGTACCAGACCCTTGCTTTTGTACCAACAAAAAATACCAGTACCTAGCTTTAGTACCGTACCATTTTTTGCTTTTGTACCCGTGCCGTACTGCTTTTGTACCCGACCATATCTTAGTTTTCCCGGGCCATACTGCTTTTTTACCCCGTACCATATGCTTTTGTACCAGACCATACTGCTTTATACCGACCCTACTGCTTTTTTACCAGTACCATCGCTTTAGTACCAGTACCGTACTCTTTGACCGACCATAGCTTGACCAGTACCGTATGTTTTGTACCCGACCTACTGCTTTTGTACCGTACCCCGGGGTTTAGACCAGTACCGTACTGCTTTAGTACCAGTACGTAGCTTTTGACCCGTAGTTGCTTTGTACCCTACCGTAGCTTTAGTACCGTACCTACGCTTTATCCCGCCTATGCTTTGTACCGTCCCTACTGTTTAGACCAGTCGTACGCTTTAGGGCCAGTACCGTATCTTTTGTACCCGTAGTACTGCTTTAGACCAGTACCGTATGCTTTAGTACCGTACCATACTGCTTTGTACCAGTACCATAGGGTTTTGTACCAGTACCCTTTGCTTTTGTCCGTACCTTGCTTTAGTACCGTACCGTCCCGCTTTTGTACCGTCCCCTAGCTTTAGTACCAGACCGTACGCTTTGGTTTCCCTAAATGCTTAGTACCCGACCTATGCTTTAGACAGTAGTAGCTTTAGTACCAGTACCGTACGTTTTGTACCGTACCATTGTTTGTACCAGATCTAGCTTTGTACAGACCCTACTGCTTTGACCCGTACCGTATGTTTTGTACCGTAAGTCGCTTAGTACAGACCATATGTTTAGTACATCCCTATGCTTTTGTACCAGTACCCTACACCGTATGCTTTTGTACCCTACGACGTTTAGTACCAGTACCGTCGCTTTAGTAAAATATGCTTTTTGTACCCGACCCTACTGCTTAGAAGATGTTTAAATGCTTTAGTAGCCGTACCCTTTAGTTCAGCCCTACGTTTTTCCAGTACCCTATGTTAGTACAGACCATCGTTTTGACCATACCTACGCTTTTTTCCAGTACCGGATTTGTACCAGTACCTACTGCTTTTGTACCAGTACCTATGTTTTGACCAAAACCTATGCTTTAGTACCAGACCCTAGCTTTTTGTTCCAGTACATAGCTTTGTACCAGCCATACTGCTTTTTTAACCCGACCAACGCTTTTGTCCCCTACCCTACTGCTTTTGTACCCCTACCGTTGTTTGTACCCTACCTACTGCTTTAGTACCAGTAAAAATGTTGTACCGACCATATGCTTTAGTACCAGTACCATACTGCTTTTGTACCAGACCATATGCTTAGACCCGACCCTACTGCTTTTGTCCCGTACGTACGCTTTGTCCAGACCAACGCTTTATACAGACCTATTTAGTACCAGTACCCTACTGCTTTGTACCAGACCATAGGGGTTTTTTACCAGACATTTTCGCTTTAGTACCCGTACCATACTGTTTAGTCCCCGTCCTACTGCTTTAGTACCCGTACCCTACTGTTTAGTACCAGTACCGTATGCTTTGTACCATATCTACGTGCTGCGTGCATCGTGTGTACCATCATCCCCCCCATCTACCATCATACCCCCACAGTCACCCCCACTACCCCCAAGTCCTTCGTTACCACACTACCCAAAAGTTTACCATCCAAACCCTCGTTACATCCACCCCTACAGAGTTAAGTTAAAATCACACCCCTACAGTTACCATCACTACCCAAGTTACCTCACTCCCCTACGTCAGTCTACAGTCTACCATCACTACCCTACAGCTACCATCACTACCCCCACAGTTACCATCAACCCCTCGCAGTCCAGTTCCGTCACTACCATACAGTCGTCACAGCTACCTCACCCCCTACGTCACCATCACTCCCCTACAGTCAGTCTACAGTTACCCTCCCCACCCCCAAGCTTCCATACTCCCCACGTTACCCTAAACACCCCCCCCGTCTACAGTTACCATCATACCCCTAAGTCTACCATATACCCACGTCTACCCTAACCCTACAGCTACCGTATACCCCTAAGTCTCCGTCACTACCCTAAATCTACCCCCATACCCCTACAGTTACCACACACCACGTCTACCATTTATACCCTACAGTTACCCTCATACCCCCACAGTCAGTCCAGTCTACCATCAACCCCCACAGCAGTCTACAGTTACCCTAACCCCCCCGGCTCCCCTACTACCCCTACGTTACCGCACTACCCACTCGTCTAAGTTACCATATACCCCACAGGCACCCCCAAACCCCCACTCGTCTACAGTCTACCATACTACCCTACGTTACCATCAAACCCCCACAGTCTCCATACCCCTACAGTTAAACTCCCCTACAGTTACCCCCACCCCTACAGTGTTACGTCTTTTCCATCACACCCCCACAGTCGTCTACAGTCTACCACATACCCCCAAAGTTCCGTCATCCACAGTTACCATCATACCCCCCCCCGTTACCATACTACCCTACAGTCACATCATACCCCTACAGTTCCATCACACCCCTACAGTTACCATCATACCCTACAGCTACCTCATCCCCCACACCCCAAACACTACCCCACGTCTACCTCATACCCCTACAGTTACCATCACACCCCCCAGTAGTTTCAGTTTTTCACACTACCCCCACAGTTACCATCATACCCCACAGTTTCCATCCACCCCAGTTCCCCACCATACAGTCAGTCTAAGTTTTAAACCTCCTACCCCA